TCAAATTAAAATACGTATTTTTAATTTATCACCTATTAACATCGATCGTCTCAAATTGACATCTTACAATGTGTCATGATAATATATATGACAGAAAATATCAGATGGTATGACCAATTCAAATTTGTTCGTTTACCGTGACACTGTATTTCTTTCGTCAACATGATTCGATCAATTATGTGTCAATTTAATTATCCATCAATCTTTTATCCCACTATTAAGTCAATGTGAGTCGAAAACCCATTTTGACTTATGAATATACTTTGGCCAATGATTTTATTATTGATTTAACTAAATGAAATGTAGATCATAGTTTCTTACTATCTAAAAGTGATGAATAATCTGTTTATCATTCCCAACAAGATTTTTGACATACTTGAACGATGTTGTATTAACGACCCTTGACAAAACAATATCCAGTATCACCTAAGTATAATTGTTTCAAAGCACTGTGATAACCCCAAGTCAAATGATTGATTCCGTTAGAGATTAATCACTGAGACTCAGATAGTTATCCATATGGAATCTCTCCAGCGGATCTCTAATATTCTGTTTATTAACAAAATATCCACATGTTCATTTAAATGTCACTACATTTTAGCTTATGAGATCAGATACTCACTTTAAAAGTAACAAATGCCACCTGTGATGATCTAACCATAATAATAATATCTGTATCGTTAATATGTACGATCATTGATGATTTAAGATTCAATCATGCGTATTTTTCATCTCACAATTACAATTTCTTATGATTAACAAGTTATCAAGACTTGAATTTACAGACTCTATTATTTAATTTATTAGAACATTAATTCAATTAAATAATAGATCCATCATAAATAAAATGCATGAATATATATTAAAAACATTTATGTCCAAAATCGATTGGACCTAGTATGGCATAACACTTACGTCTTCATGGTTCATTTATAATACACAATAATTAAGTGCCTAATGTACATTAGTTTTTTTTAATGGTCCTCAAACGGGATGATACAACTTTTTTTAGATTCAAATCTCCTCATTTGTGAAGTATTTAATAATACTCAAAACAAAAGAAATTATTTTAAGCTTAGAAGGAAATCGTGTGACCTAACCTCCAATAAACGAAATATGGTGCAAATAAATTGAACCTATCTAACCGATTGAGAACTAATTAATAAAGAGTAAAGTAAACAAATTTTATCTCTTTTGATCTCATTATCATGCATCGGAGTAATATTTTCTTTTATGCTCGTGATTACTGTCATAATCAATATTATCATCATTAGAGTTTCTTGTGTCTGACTATACCCCATCTATCGAAAGTTTAGTCCCTCATCAGTTTCGTTGAGTATGTATCTGAAAGTATCGTTCTGCTCACGGAAGTCCATAGATTTATGAACAAAACTATTAGCTCTTGCCCTGTCCAGACTCAGTGAAAACGGATAGGAAAACAAAAGATCATTAACTAATTTACGAATTTAATTGTTGTATAAAAATTAATTAACAACGGAAAAGTTGATTTTTATTGAAAATTAATCAACAAGATTATTGTATAATTAATTTAGGTTCAGTTTATTTTGCTTATATAGAGTCGAGGTATGAAGACTGCCCCCAACAGATATGCTTAAACTTGTGCTTTAGGCATTGTACATAGAAATAATTTATTATGCAATCTTGTGTACAGCATCTTCATTTAAAAATTAAACAATCCGTAACGCAAAAATGCTCAACATGCAATGCATATAAATGTCAACTAATTAATGCAGAATTGATTAAGAAAAAATAATTAATGGGTAAAGATTATTTATTATTTGAAATTTCTTGTTTCTTATGCTATTAAAGTCAATACTCTAATGGAATAAATTGTGTTACGAATTCATAACTAGAAAAATTGGATTATGCACCCACAAAAGCAACATTTGAAGGTGCATTTTGTTGAGCTTATACATGCGCTCATAAACTACCTAAGAAGTGTTGAGTCGAGTTTAATATTCTAACATTTGAACATGGCAAGTACTAAACAACTTAATAAAAATGCAAGACACTATTTGAAATGTCTCAAAATTCTCGCTCTTCATGTATTTACCTAGTGCCAATAATCGATCTAAAATATATTAAGGTGTATGGGCAACTTATTTAAATCATGAGTTGACTAATGACTAACCAAAAAAAAAAAAAAAAAAAAAAAAAAAGTCTCGCCAAACGAGACTTAGTGCAAGTAAGTGAGATAAAATGGAACATGGAACATACTAACACACATGTGGTCGCTATTATTGACTATTTATATAAGGATGCCTGCATTTGTAGTAAAAAATACAAGAAACTTGCACTGTAAGAACATGTAAAGTCAAGTTGTACAGAAACCGCAGATTTTGGGTCTTAAATTCACTGAATTGTCGGCATAAACGGGTCTAAGAAAGGTGCAGTTGTCGGGAAGAATACGTAAACTGGTCCATGCGATCGTTCACATCCTATGGGGACAACAAATCTAACGATGGAGCCGAAAGTGGTTAAATAGTCATTAAAGTAAGATTTGGTAACCTCTTCTCTTTGCTACTAGCTACATATAAATCTAATTACGTCTTTTAGTTTAAGATTCGATCTTATCAAATTGGCAAGTTCAAATGTTCTATAAATATATTTTCTTTTCTAGAGAAATTATGTGACTCAATACAGAATTTATACTTGTCTCTATTTGTAGTATGAACTCTATATGTTACCTCGTCTTGAGTGTTCAATTCATCAGTTTGAATTCTTTCTAAAATTTATGTTCGACAATACGGTTGTTCAATATAGTGATAACATATGGTTATAGATCTCACAAACTCCACTTCCTCATTTGCCATATAGGCAAGGATAAAATCAAATTTTAACTAGACTTAACTCTATCAAATTGTTGTATCTCATATGCATCGTATAGTTAGAATATTGTTAATTCGATAAGCAAAATTATTTTAAACCCTTGACATGATGACTCTTGTCTTCGAGAATATAGTAGATATATGTTATGTTAATTTTCAATTTTCACATGTAAATCTATAGGAAAAACGTAACTTGTTCACCGATAGCAAATATATATCCGCTCAATATTTTCCTTTTATCAATGAATTTTTATGGTTTATTGACCTAAATCAAGACATTTCATAAACATATAAGCTAAAATATTCGCTCTTGGTAGATAATATAATTTTTTCTGATTGAATTTTGAATACTCAACTCATGTCAAAAGAGTATGAAATTAAATAAAAATTATGTTTTAGTTTTTGGAAAGGTAAATGCAATGCACGTTTCTTTACTAGCAAAATTCGTGAAAGAGAACAATACATAAATTCTACATGTAAAAAGCACATTTCAAAACTAACAAACTCCATAAAACTTTTCAAAAATCATTTGATAAATTAATTTATTAAAATTTTAATTATAATATAATATAATTAATCACACCACATTTCAAATCCAAGCCTCTCTCTCTCTCTCTCTCTCTCTCTCTCTCTCTCTCTCTCTCTCTCCCCTCCCTTACCCCTTCTCCCCATCAAGGCGCCCATTTGCTCTGGCGATCACTCCAATGATTGCTCCGAAGATAACTCTGGCGATTGCTTCGACGACGATAGAAAGATTTTCAAAAATTGAAAATAATTTCTCTCTTTATACTCTATTGTACAAAAATCTCCAAAATTTTATCCGTGACAAGATTTATTATTCGTGACTATACCTGTGTTTTATGTGACTATTTGTGATCAAATTTGCTTTTGCTGAGATTGTATGTGACCATCTAATTTGTAACTGTATATAATCAGTTCACTAATCTATATTATTTGTAATTAACTGTGATCAAATTTGTTTTTGATATGACTTAGTGTCATCAAATTTGTCTTTGATACGACTCTCTGTGATTAAATTTGTATTTAGTATGACTGTCTGTAACTAGATCAATCTTAACTGTGACAAAGTCACAATATATCACAATCAACAAAAAATTGGTCACAAACAATCACAACAAACACATACTTAGTCACATGAGGTTACCATAAACAAATCTGCATACACTTTAGGCCAATATTACAATCCACCACCACCATCACCTCCAAATCCAATGCACCGCCATTAACGACTTTAATTGACGACCATAAATATTAAATTCATTTCAAAATCCATAACAACAATCATTACTACCATATTCCACCAACACCTTCAAAAAAACCAACCAACACCACCACATGAAGGCATTTGCCAACCAAGAAATCTAAAGGCAACGATAACAACACCCCCCCCCCCAAAAAAAAAAAACTAGATCCAAAATTGCCACCAAAATCAAAACTAAAACCACCCTCAAAATAGAGTTGCTGCGAGGTGTCATTGTTGCTGTTGTTAGCGACACTCATGTCACCGTGGTGTAGTGTTGATGGAGAGAGAAAGAGAAGAGAGAAGGAAGAGGTAGAGAGATGGGAGGAGGAGAGTGATTATGGTTTGGGGTAAAATTCAGGAGGATGGGGTGTGTAGGGTGTTTGGGTGTGGGTTTTATAAATTAAGCCCCCGTATGATTCTCGAATGAAAAATATGATCGTTATCTATCATATTAAGCCATTATAGTTGACTTTCTATCTCTTGTGTGGATCCTATAACGACTATAGTTTTTATTCTTATTCTTTCAAAAATGGGTACTAAATTGGGTCTAATTTAAATTTATAATATTATTAATATTAAAAATTTGGTCTATCATCTGATTTTTGAATAAAAAACTTTTGTAAATGCAGGGCCGCTCATATTATCGATACCTGTTGAAGGGCCCAGGTAACTAACTGGATATGAACAAGTACTTTAACTCTGAAGGGTGCTGTTTGGATAGGGCAAAATCCAGGCCCAAATCCAGAGGGCCAAGTGGCCCGTCCATTTAGTTTTTGTTGTTTAACTCTAAAAGCGCAAGTAATAGTGTAGCACTTCATAAATGATACATGCGATTTGTTTATGTAGAACTTTCCTTGCATTGCCAAGATTGATTGACTTGATTAGCCATACATGTGGTGTGTATTAACTCCAGCACAGTAAACTCTATCATCAACCACAATGCTCATCGTTAAAAAGTTTTATCTTTGTTGTTACAGTGCTTCGTGAATATATTTTGGTGGAATATGGAGTTTAATTGCTTCTGTAGTGGAACCAAGCCACCACCATTGTCTTCTTCTTCTTCTTCCTCAACCATTCTAAATTTCCAGGTAAAGCTATAATTTTAGAAACCAGCTTATTAATTTGGGTACTCTTCTACTACAACGTGGCTTTGACGATGATTGCTTGTGCGGTATTTTCTTTGTATGTGATTGTGATTATCTAGACTTATGACGATGATAATATCAGTTTTAGGATGTCAATTTTCTCGTTTTTCTTTTTCATATCAGAGTGCAGTCACAGTAGTACTGTATTCTTTTTATTTTTCCTGTTCAGTGGATAAAATTGATCGAATTTTACAAGTAAACGTAGGCTCAGTGGAGCCTGATATGACTTTTTCTAATTGGAAGGAACCAACAATTTGAATTACTGTTGCCCTTCCTCACCCTGCTACTACTCATATTCACTGCTACCCAGCCCTCTCTTTTGGATATATTTGGACCTCAAATTGGAGATTGGATTTATCTCCTTCTAATTTTTGCATTACCTAGAGTAGACTGCTTTTGCATTTCTTCCTATCTTTATAGTAGATTTTCGAGCCCCACACGAAATAGTATAATGTAGCCCCTGCCTGTTGAGCCAATGTGAGATGGAAAATTTACTGGCTGCTTGAGTCGTGGAGGGCGCTTAGTTATGGGCATCAGAAGAGGGTACTCAATAAAGGAGAAAATTAAATTATCCTACATTTTTATGATGTTGTTTCTCGAAAAATTGGTGGGAAACAGTTACTTATGTTTCCACCTGACACTATTCTTTATCTCAGCAGCGTAATTGTCTATTGCAGGGCATTTCATCAGTTGGCCGAAAATTTTCTGGGAAAACTTCAGATACGCAGGTGCTGTCTTCTCCATTTCTTCAACGTAAAGACATATTCCAGCCATTTATTTACAAGCAGAGCTCCTCATTTTATTCCCTGAAAACGTATCGGGGATCCATTCTCTCAGAAGCTGGAAAACAAGGCTGGGACTTGGGAAGATTTTTAAAAACATTGTATTTCTTTAATGGGCCTCCCTCTCCTGCAAAGGTTCACCTTGCTTGATCCTTTCTTGATATGTCTAATGCTGGTGCTCTGCTATATATGATCTAACAAGGTTCATTTTATACTTGAAGTTCTTTGAAT